TCTGGCCCTTGTCTGTGCTTGGTAGTCTTGGAGTACAAAACAAAATTTAATAATACTGCAAATCTTACCAACAATAATATATAAGAGTTATATATATACTCTGACTCGCGATGAGAACACTAAATAAAATTCTAACATGCCTCCACCTAAAACTACCAACTCAACCCTTTAGGTCAAACGCCTCAACTAAGGTTAGTACCGTACATAAGCCATACCATAAATAAACCTGGAACATATGCCTATGTTATTTATGATCAGGCTAGTGCACAACCAACCTTGAGCAAGGAGTTTAACATGCTACAATGGTTGAAAGTTTTAGAGATTGAAGGATGTTCTCAAGATTTGCTGCAGAAACCTAGTACCTTAGAAACCTTATATCAACCCCAAAACAATATATACATTTTAAATACTTAAAAATATGGAATAATGTTTAGATTTTCCTAGTTCACCTAAACCCGAAGTAGAACAAAAGAACCAACAGCTTCACTACCATCATAGCAAAGAAACCTATAGTTCCCAACTGATCATTCAATAGTCTTTAAACTTCTCTCTCTATCATTTGAAATCGGTAGCATTTCAATTCTCTCTCTATAAGTTGGAAATTTGTAGGATTTCTGGAATCGATCACTCTCTATAATTTGGAACCTTACCATGAGAGGATCAAAGGTGACTGCTTACACCTCCCGATTTAATGACCTCACAAACCTTTGCCCAGAAATGGTGAACCCAAAATACAAAAAGACCAAAAGGTACATCTGGGGAGTAGCTTCACCAGTTCAAAGGTATGGTTACTGCATCCAGACCCACTACCTTTGATAGTGCTAAGAAATTGGCTTATCAATTGATTGAGCAGTGTATCTGTCAGGTTACCATGACCCCACAAACAGAAAAAGAACCAGACTAGGAGTACAAAAAGGAATTTCCATGGCAAGTCAAAGGAGAAATTCAAACATCGCAAACCCAATCCAGAACCTATAGTTGCGTATACCAAAATCACAAATACTCCCGCCCCATCAAAGCCTTACTTTGGGAATTTACCCCCACTACACCAAGTGTAATTTCCACCATGTCGGAAATTGCATGGTCTGCAGCATCTGTAACTTGAGAGGTCGCACTTCTAAGTTTTGCAGAAAGACCCCAAACAATACAACCTCAACCACTACTACAGGAGCAAGTCAAAGTTGCTTTAAATGCAATTAACCAGGGCATTTCAAGAAGGACTCCCCGAAACTAAAGAACCAGGGTGGCAAAGGAAGAGCATTTGTGATAGGTGTTGGAGATGCTCGCCAGGAACCAACTGTGGTTACTGGTACGTTTCCTATCGACAAATATTTATGCTTCCGTATTACTTGATACTGGTGCCGATAGAAGCTGTATTTCCCATAAGTTTAGAAGCATGATTAACCATAAATTATGCAAACTTAATGAAGTTGACACGGTAGAAGTAGCAAACGGCCAGTTAGAAAACACCTTAGAAATACTCACTAATTACCTTTTCACCCTGAGTAATCACATCTTTCACGTCAACCTAATACCTATGACCATTGGAAGTTTCAATGTGATCATCAAAATGGATTGGTTATCACTTCATCGAGCAGAGATTTTATGTTACGAAAAAGCCGTCCGACTACCTTTACCTAACAACGAAGCCCTCGTGATTTACAGAAACAAATCAGGAAAGAACCTAAGAGTCATCACATGCATGAAGGCACGGAAGCATTGTAGAAGTGATGTTTCGCTTTCTTGGACCACGTGGTGGATATGCAAGGAAAGGGTAAGGAAATCAAAGACATTCCGCAAAGTGTGCGACTACCCGAATGGATTTCCAGAGGATCTAATTGGAATACCTCCAGTCAGACAGGTCGAATTCCGAATCGACCTAATACCGGGGCAACACCAGTGGCAAGATCTCCTTATCGCCTGGCTCCATCGGAAATGCAAGAACTATCCAGTCAACTTCAAGAACTTCTTGACAAAGGCTTTATCCGGCCAAGCTTCTCTCCATGAGGAACCTCGATATTGTTGTAAAAAAAGAAGGATGGATCATTCAGGGTGTGCATCAACTATCGAGGGTTAAACAAACTCGCCATCGGGAACTGATATCCATTTTCGAGGATTGATGACCTGTTCGACCAGCTACAAGGATCCCGTTACTACTCAAAGATCGATCTAAGATTTGACTACCATCAACTCAAATTGCAAGAAGCAGACATTCCAAAGATGACCTTCAGGACTCGGTATGGTCACTATGAGTTTTTGGTTATGCTATTCGGACTGAACGACAATGCCAACCAAAGTATGCCAATTCTTAGGGCTTGCAGACTATTAGCAGAGATTCATTGAGAACTTCTCTAAGATATCCAAAACTGTAATCGCTGTAACCTAGAAGGACAAGAAATTCGATTGGGGAGACAGACAAGAGTCTGCCTTCTAGAAACTGAAACAACTGTTGTGTAGTACATTAATTTTGTCTCCTCTGGAGGGAACAAAAGGCTTCGTAGTATTTTGCGATGCCTCACACCAAGGGTTAGGATGCATACTAATGCAAAGGAATAAAGTCATTACATACATATCTAGACAACTTAATCCAAACAATACCAACTACATTACTCATGACTTAGAGTTGAGAGCTGTAGTGTTTGCCTTAAAGATTTGGAGACACTACCTCTACAGAATGAAGTGTGTCATGTTTACCGGCCACAAAAGCCTCCAACATATCTTCGACTAGAAGAAGCTCAACATGAGACAACGAAAGTGTGTCGAATTGCTAAATGGTTGTGAATGCGAAATTCGTTATCATATTGCTAAAGATAATGTCATAGCAGACACTTTAAGTAGGAAAGAACAAGCAGACTCACTTGGTGTAAAGGCTCTAACCCTAACCATCCACTCCAATCTCACCACCAAAATTCGAGATGCTCAGCTAGAAGCACTCAAACCCGAGAATATCGTGGAGGAAAACTTGCGAGGTATGGACTAATAGTTCGACCTCAAGAAAGACGAAAAACGATATCTCATGAACCGAATTTGGACCCCAAGCTTTGGAGAAGTCGTGAGTCTAGTTCTAAATGAAGCTCATATGTCGAGATATTCGATACATACCAAATCAAATAAGATGTATCTCGATTCTTAAGAAGTTTTATTGGTGGCCCAACATAAAGACATAGATTGCCACATATGTCAGTAAATGTTTGACTTGCTCCAAGATCAAAGCAGAGTACCAGAAGTCGGTTGGTCTACTACGATAACCGTCAATCCTATAATGGAAGTGGGAACAATTAACCATGGACTTCATAACAAAGTTGCCAAAGACATCAAGCACTTTTGACACCATATGGGTAGTGGTTGACCATTTGACCAAGTCCGCCTACTTCTTAGCCATCAAAGAAGCTGGCATATTTATTTTTGTATGTACAAAAATCATATTTACACCTTTAAAGAAAACATATTTATATCTTTAAATTTGTATTTATAATTTTAAAATTGTATGAATACATATTTATTTTTGTTATTATATGCATTTATTATTGTTATTATATATATTTAAAAACATATTTATGCATTTAAAAAAAATATTTTTATACATATAAAATATATAAAAAAACATATAAAAATGCTATACGTTAAAATATATAAAAACGAATAAAAAGGTTATATATATATATATATCTATATATATATATATATATATATATATATATATATATATATCTATATATATATATATATATATATATATATATATATATATATATATATATGTATTTTTTTCAAATATAAATGTTATACGCATAAAAAAACATTATTTATATTTATAAAGAGAACATACTAAAATGTATAAATATATAGAAATACATATTATATTTATAATATATAAATACATTTTTAAAGTATATAAGTACATAAAAATGCATATAAATATGTTTACATTGTTTTTAAATGAATAAAATATGTTCACTTATGTTTATATACTTTTACAAATTTATTTACATATTATAAAGCATCTTTATACATTTTTAAAGGTATAAATACGATTTAAAAATATAAATATGTTCTTATACATGTAAAAATTATTATTATTACTATTATTATTATTATTATTATTATTTTAATTTTTCCAAAATAATACATATAATGTATAAAAATGTAGGCTTTAAGCCACTTAAATTAGTTCAGTTTAGTCGTTAAGGCTTTGTATCGGAGAATTAAAGGTCCCAAGTTCGAAACTCACCAACCCCCTTTCTTCTCCTTATTGTTGCATTTTTGCTAATATATAAGCTATGCTGCAACAATCTATACACAAATAAATGTCGAGCGTCGTGGGTTCAATTCGCCCAACCTACTTCTCTGTCCATTTGATGTTTCTTTTTAGTAAAGAATGAATGTTGTCGTGACAGCCACGTCAGTACCGAAGATCCAATTTCAGTAGGAGGTTAAATGACAAAAATGAACACGTTTTTTAAAATATTAGACATCGTATTGATAAAAACGACACATTATAGTTGAACTTTTTCCTTAACAAGTCTATATTTTACATTTTCTACCTTTGACATTTCTTATTTATAACATTACAGTGTAAATCGAAGAACCAATGTATAAAATAGCTTTCACATACATTTTCCTTCTATCTTGGAATAATGTAATAATCTAAAATCTAAATTATGGACCAACACCTTCAATAAAAACATAATTAAACTATCAAAGACGGGGATAGGTTTGGGGTGGGGGCATATTGGGCCATTCCTATTTAATAAAAACATATAAATTAAAATAGAAGATAAAACCATTTTGCATCGTTTACTTAAAATTACATATATGATATTATTGGGTATGTTCGGGCATTTACACCCCTAGATGCGACAGCCCAACCCACCATCCAAAATTCGGGTCCGGTTTCTTTTTGAAATCAATACAAAACGTTGCACAGAGAGTACAGACTACAGGGTCTTTCTTCTCCGGTCTACACACCATCGGTTTGGTCGACGTTTCAATACAAAATCATGAGATTGACGAGAGGCCATTTTCGAGCTATCATTGACTGTACTGAACGAGCTATATCCACTTCTTCCGATACCTTATTAAAAACCCCTAATCTTGAAAAAACTTTCTTCAAATCCCAAAACAGTGAAGATAATCTCGTAAAAAGACTATGCCGAGAAAACAAACATGAAGAAGCTATAATTAATCTATGCGAACGATACCGTTTAACAGAAGCCATTCAAGTACTTGATCATATGCAACGTCCTTCTCCATTAGTGTATTCTAATCTTCTTAAGCTTTGTCTTCAACAGAAAGCCGTCGCAGCCACCAAAAGAGTCCACACCCACATAAAAAGATCCGGTTTTTTCCCAGGGGTATCGAGTTTAAATCGAATTATAGACTGCTACTGTAAATGTGGGAGTCTTGTGGATGCACGTATTGTGTTCGACGAAATGCAAGAGAAGGATGTGTGTTCTTGGAATACTATGGTATCAGGGTATGCAAAAGCTGGACGGCTAAAAGATGCTCGTAACCTGTTCGATGAAATGCCTGAAAGAGACAATTTTTCTTGGACTGCAATAATTTCAGGATACGTCCGCCATGATCGTCCCAATGATGCATTACAGTTGTGTAGAACAATGCTGCAAGACTATAATGTTAAGCTCAACAAGTTCACAGTTTGTAGTGCGCTTGCAGCTTCTTCAGCAACTCAAAGCTTAATCATTGGAAAGGAAATCCATGGACATATTATGCGTACAGGTATAGATTCTGATGCAGCTGTTTGGAGTGCTTTATCAGATATGTATGGGAACTGTGGGAGTTTGGATGAAGCTAGACAGATATTTGACAAAACTTCAGATAAAGACGTTGTTACATGGACATCAATGATTGATCGGTATTTCAAACATGGGAAAAGGGAACAAGGGTTCCTCTTGTTTTCAAATTTGTTAAAATCTGGAAACAAACCTAACGAATTCACATTTGCAGGGATATTAAACGCTTGTGCACATCATAACACAGAAAGTTTAGGCAAACAAATACATGGGTATATGACACGCATTGGTTTTAACCAATCTTCTTTTGCAGCAAGTGCCCTTGTTCATATGTACTGCAAATGTGGGAACATGGAGGTTGCAGATAAGGTCTTTAAGTGGATACCAAAACCAGATTTAGCTTCATGGACTTCTTTGATCAACGGGTATGCCCAAAATGGGAAACCTGAAGAAGCTTTGAAGCTATTCGATTCATTACATGATACTGGAACTAAACCTGATCACATCACATTTGTTGGGGTTCTTTCAGCTTGTACGCATTCAGGTTTGGTTGATAAAGGGGTTGAATACTTTAATTCCATAAAACAAAAACATGGGTTGGATTATACCATTGATCATTATGCTTGTGTTGTTGATTTGCTTAGTCGATCTGGGAGGTTTATAGAAGCTGAAGAGATAATCAAGAAAATGCCCATGAAACCGGATAAGTTTTTATGGGGTTCTGTTCTTGCTGGATGTAGGATTCATGGGAATCTTGATTTGGCTAAACAAGCAGCAAAAGTATTGTTCAAAATAGAGCCTGAGAATGCAGCTACCTATGTCACACTCTCCAACATTTATGCTGCTGCTGGAAAATGGGGTGAAGTTGCAGAAATTAGAAAGATGATGGATGTAAATCGGGTGGTGAAGAAACCTGGAAGAAGTTGGACTGAAATTAAGAGAAAGGTGTATACTTTTTTGATGGGAGATACATCAAATCCAAGATTGAAGGAGATTCATGAGTTGTTAGGGGAGTTGCAGAAGAAGATGAGGGAAGAAGGATATGTTCCTAAGATAGATCATGTGCTTCATGATGTAGAAGAGGAACAAAAGGAGGAAAATTTATCGTATCATAGTGAGAAATTGGCTATTGCATTTGCGATTCTTGTTACTCCACCAGGAACGATGATAAAAGTGTTTAAAAATTTGAGGACTTGTGTTGATTGTCATACTGCTATTAAGTACATCTCTAAAATTGAAAGTAGGAAAATTGTTGTTAGGGATTCGAGTAGATTTCATTGTTTTGAGGGTGGGAGTTGTTCATGTAAAGACTATTGGTGACTGGTGAGTTCACTCAATTAGCTGCAAGATTTTCTTTATTAATAAAAATGGGAAATTTCAATCAAGAATATTCATTCGTACTTTGAGTTATTCCTAAAATCGATCGATTCTTATTTAACTTTACTTTTCAAATGTATCAGAGTTATCGGTTTTTAGTATCACCTATTAATCAAAATAACCAATGTATAAGATTTTTTAATAAAAACTAATTATAATTTTAGAAATCGTAAGTTTATTGATTTCGAATGGATAATACCAAGTAAATAAGTTATTTTTTCCTTTATATGTACATACTTTATCAAATTATCTAAGTCACACACCGACCCTTTAGTGGATATGGCTTCCATTAGATAAGTCTACACAAATTGATAACAGAAGGTTCCGATGTTTAACAATTTCACATCCATCTCCAAAGATCTTACCTACATTGAAAAACATAAACATTCACAATTTCGATAACTATAGACCCTATAGAAAGTTGACTCCTGTCTTCAGCCACTCAAAGAAAACCAATCGCAACCTAAAAAATTCAACCCATGAAGCTCGAAATTGAAGCCCACAAAGGTGAAGATTTGGTTTACCTATACAGTACAGTACACTAGTACGGAGTGCCGAGCTTGAAGCCACTCAAGAAGAATCACGGTTTTAATGTTTTAACAGAAACGTCTTTCTTTTCTTTGAATGCATATAATGTATCTAATTGCAAATGGTAATCTTAAAATTAGCCTTCATTTGATTGCAATTTGCAAATGGCCATCTTAAAAGAGAAACAACTTCCTTTTCTTTAGTTGATCATAATAATGTTGATTATTGATTGCAAATGGAGTGTGCAAGGTAAATGTTTAGTGTCTGATTTGTTGGCAATCTTAATAATTTTCATATGATTCCATCACCATAACCGAACGAAAAGCTAAAAGGCAAATGAGAAATTGTGTATATATAAATATTTATTTCTCTCAAGAACATAAACCTGGGACCACCGATTCATTTTTTTGATATTTCTTCGGTTGATTAAAGCAATGACACTTGAATACAAAGAAATTTCAGGGCTATAAATTGGAAAAAAATTTTAAAGGTATAATGTAAGTAGAATGTTTTAACTGCTTATTTGAAAGTAGCATGTTATAATCTTTTTGAGTTCCTCCCTAAGTACTTGGTCATTGAAGTCGAATTCTACATTTTTTTAACATACTGAAACATTTGCACTAAATATTTGAATAAAATTACTTGGTTGTTTATGAAAGCACAGAAAGAGTTTTCTATAGAAATTTGAAAAAATTATGAAATATAAGAATAAACATTAGTAAAATGTTAAACATATAAGTGATACCCAATATATATAATAGGTTTTTTTTTTCTGGATTAAACCTCAAGTTTTAATTTTCTTAAAAAGACCTTGCATTTTTTTTCCTATTTGGCCCTTGTAGAAGGGTTAGTATTAATTTTCTGGTTTTAAACAAAAACAAGTTTCAGAAAAGCCCTCAACATTTTTTCCCGAAAAAACCTTCACATTTGAAAACTAGCTTTCAGTTGATTGCAAAATGACCATTTTAAAACGGAAACAACTTCATTTTCTTTAGTTGCTCCAAATAATCTTGACTGATTGCAAATGAAGTGTGCAAGGTGTTGGTTGACTTCACGGCTATTTAGCTCAATCCTGTCAAAAATACAATACAACACAATAAACCTTTGTTCCTAATTTTCTAGGATTTAACTTGAAGAAAATGTTATCATGTTTTATTCATATATATATATATATATATATATATATATATATATATATATAGAGAGAGAGAGAGAGAGAGAGCTAGGTTCATGTGTTTCTTATATTTATTGTGTGCTAGATTGCACCAATAGGAATGTAGTTAAATTAAATAATTATTTAATTAAATAAATATAGATATTAAATGATTTTCATAATTGTATGTATATTAAATGATATTCATAATTACAATTCTCTTTCTTATAGAAACTAATTAAATTCGTCATTAATGTCAGCAACAACATTCTTTCAAAATGAATTCACATATAGGTTTTCATGTATGGGTTCATGTTTTGTTTATAGACTCACTTACTTAAAATACAACAAAGTTGCATGGAATATGAAGAACGAGAGTGTATTCTAGTGTATTCTACTAGAATACACTCTCATTCTGTTAAAATATACTCTCATTCTTCTAGAATAAACTCTCATTCTACTAGAATACACTCTCGTTCTACATGTTCCAGACACTTTGTTGTATTTTGAGTGAGTAGGGTCATGAAACAAAATACAAACTCATACATGAAAAACTAGATGCGAATTCATTCTGAAAGAATATTATTGCTGATATTAATGACGAACTTCACTAGTTTTCATAAAAAATGTATTATAATTTTGGATATCATTTAATATACATATAATTATGGAAATCATTTAATATATATCTTTATTTGATTAAATAATAATTTAATTTTCACTAAATTCTTATTTGTGCATTCTAGCACACAATAGATGTGAGAAACATTTGAACATAGCTATATATATATATATATTATATATATATATATATATATATATATATATATATACTCAAACAAGTTACTTTTCTGCATAATCGTAATCTTATATATTCTACCTTTAAATTAGATTAACCTCATAAAAAACAGTCAACTCCACCGCTTGGCTTTGGTTTGTTTTAAACTCATTTAATTATGATATATGAATCAACTCTAACCATGTCCATACCAATTAATAAAACAAGACTAATTACTAATGCACAACTTAAAATTGGGACTTAAATTATTCCTTACTTATTAGAGAGGAGAGGTTGTACTAAAGATATACTTTAGTTTATTCCTTACGTACGTATTAAACTAAAAAGGAACAAAACATGAAACCAAATCTAGATTAATCTAAAATTGGGACTTATTCCTTACGTACTATGAGAAACCAGTTTTGAAAAATCTCACTGATTTGATTTCTTCTCTGGAATAACAAATTAGAAAAAGCAAAAGATAAAAAAACATACATAAAATAAAAATGAGTCCCGCTAAGTTTTGTGAACTTGGCACACGTATATGTTTTTTCTTTTCTATAAATAAGATCTAACATGATCATTATGATAAAGAGAGACATATGATTAGCATGAAGGTACGTGAACACTCACATCCACTAAAGCTCATTGATTTGCAACTACAATATGAAGAAGAAGAGGAGGATGAAGAAGAAGATGAGGGTGGTTATCCGATTACAAAAAAAGTGGGCTTTGGAGGTGTCACATGTTGGACGTGTAGGGAAGAAATCCATATGTACCACAGGTACTACTACAAATGTATTATGGCTATTGGAGATTCATCATCATCATCATCATCATCATGTAATTATTTCTCACATCACAAATTCTGTGGTGAGCTCCCATCAAGGTTAGAACACCCATCACATACTCTTCACCTGCTACGATTTCCATATTCACTTGCAGATTCATATCGTTGGGTATGCAATTTTTGTAAGAGAAATAACAAGCCTGGAGAACTATTATACCAATGTGTTATATGTGATTTCCACATTGATCTCAAGTGTGTTGTGGAAGTAGGAAAAAATGTGATCCATCATCCATGCCACCCTCACTCGCTCATGTGTAAAATCACAGAACCCATTTTGTGTTGCTGCAAGGCTTGTGGGAAAAGACATGAAGGGATCTTCTTTCAATGTACCATTTGTACTAACTTCACAATACATTGTGAATGTGCTTTCCTACCAGAAAAATTGTTCATCCAAGAAAGAACACCAAATCATTCTATTTATCATATCCATCGCCTCACCATTTCATATTCCTTCCCCTTGAAAGATCAAAAAGCTAAACATTTTCCCAGATGCAGAGTATGTGGTGGTGATTTTGTAGGTAAGGATGATCTTTGGATTTACAAATGCGATAAATGTCTCTACTATGCCCATCTGGATTGCGTAAGAATGCCCCCTCCAACTGCCGGTAATTAAATCATTTTTACTTTTACAATTCATTTCCTTTATATATATATATATATATATATATATATATATATATATATATATAGTATGTAGCTAATTCCCAATTTATGAGGCTCAGGTTTTGGCAAAACCATTAAAAATTATGAAGATGTTAACCATCCTGGTCTTCTCCATCTCCCATTCCCTGATGAAACATACAGCCTACCAAAACACTACTTGTTTTTCCAACAAACCACTACTGATCATCATCATCATCATAAGATTAAGGTAGATGATCGCCTAACACACAAGAGTCATCAACACCCTCTGATTCTAGTTGATCATGGGCAAACCTCCTCCTCCTCCTCCTCCTCCTCAAATTATTTGTTATTAATAAAGTGTCATGACCCAATGAAAAAGACCCAACTGCTATGCAACGGATGTCTCAGACCAATCATGTCCACCATGCCTTTTTACAAATGCCCTTAACATAGTTGCAGCAACTTTGCTCTCCATGAGTGGTGCACTCGACTCCCCCCAAAAATACAAAACCACCCGCCTCACCCACAACATACCCTTCTTCTCATCTACTCAAACAATCTTCCTTTCTTTTTTGGTGTGTTTAAATGTAAGGTTTGTGATCTGGCTTGCAACGGATTTGCATATGGTTGTGTTGAGTGTGGATACTATGTGGATGTTACATGTGGGTTTATACCTAAACAAATCACACACAAAGCTCACCCCAATCACCTTCTTTCACTAGTTCGACGAAAAAGATTTAAACTTACTTGTCATATGTGTCACAAACATCATACTCCAGGTCAACTTTCATTCCGTTGTGACACGTGTGATATTTATATACATCCGGAATGTGCTTTGTCATTAACCGAGACAGTCAGGCACAAATATGACGAGCATCCCATGCAACTAAGTTACCTCCCGATTGAGGACCACAAGAGTGAATACTTTTGTGAAATTTGTGAGGAGGATTTGAATCCTCATGCGTCTTTTTATCATTGTCAAGATTGCGCTCAGTCTGTACATACCGCTTGTGTTCCGTCAATACTTCAATGCGAGACAGAGACCTATACCAATCGCAATGTCCGGTTGCTATATCAGGGATGAGTTTATGATTTCGTGAATATAAAGTTTGGAGGCATTTATAACGCTAATGGTCACCCACACCCTCTCTCTTTTGCTCAAGGTATTATGTATGATGGCCATTGTAGTAAATGTGGTTGGAGATTACAATATAAAATGATATTTAAGTGTCTCGAGTGTAGATTTGCAATTGATCATGAATGTTGTAAGAGTTTGAACCGCATATGAAGGTTCCAGTTTCTCTTCCACATGCATGGATGCTTTGAAAACACAATATGATGTGTAATTGTCATTACTCTTTCTTTCTTGTAGATCTCCTTTTATGTGTAAGATGGTGATACAATAAATAATTTGAATCAAACGTTTGCATAATATGTGTGTTAAACTCTTGCAATCCTTTTGTTCATCCCTAGTAACTCAGATATCTACTAGTATTTATTTATTTATAACTTAATCACAGTAGTTTGCCATTCATACTATTAATGACACCAGTTTACCGTTCGTATACTTTATTGTTATTGCTTTCGTTGTGTTATTTAATATTTTTAGTGGAAAAACATACAAACACCTATAAATGTGGCGTTGTAATACACAGCTAGACCTGTGGAATGTTGTGAGACACAAATTGTTGTTGGAAAAAGTTAAGGCGATGTAGTGTCTCTTTAATGGGTTTATATTTTTTTCATCTATTTATCTTAGGAGGATTCTTAGATGTTTTCAATTAGCTTCTGGGCTAAAAGTAAACTTCTCAAAAAACAAGGCGTAAGATATTGGAGTCAAACCAACAGGCTCTCACTTTGAAACCATTTTGGGATTTCAATTCCAGGAAGGAGAACACTAGTCTGGTGCTTCATAACATTGTATCCATGTTGATAATGAAATTAAATTTTATTAATATTTTAAAAAGTTATAAACACAGATTCTGATAAAAAAAAATAGAAACCTGAAGTGCTTTATGTAGCACTGTATGTTGATCTTCCAATCTCCTGCAACCAAGAAATGACACCTATCGCAAGGTTGATGAGAGACTAGTTATGGTCCTTACAGATTTACAATTGTTGGAAAAAAGTAGGGCAAGCGTAGGTGGAAGCTCGGGCAGTTTGACACATCTAGCCTTTTGAGGACAGAGTGTTGGGAGATGCTAAAGGGTAATTTAGTAAATTGGTTGTCACATAAGATTAAGTACTCTAGTGATGACAGAGTGCCAATATCAACTGGTAGAGTCATTCCTTCATGTAAATTACAGAGCCCTAATTCTTTCAAGGAAGTCAAACTCAATAAAGAAGGTGAAAACTGATACAATGAGTGTCTAGACATATTACTATTCTTTTTTGAGTTTTTATGTTCAAAGAACCAATCAAGGAATCCTTTTTTATGAGGAATGGAAGATGGTGGTTCTACGACATAGAAGGTTTTGAGGTTTTTAAGGTTGATGATGGAAGATAGTAGTTGAGTAACAGTGGACACAAGAAGATGCTATAAAGAAGCTATGTTTCCAAGGTCTTTGGGTAATCTTGCAAGTTTTATGCAACGTCTAACATCAAGATATGCCAGGATTTGTAACATGCAAATAGTATTTTGAAGACTTAGTAGATTGATACATCCAAGAAGACTAAGAACAGATAGATTTGTTATGTTCAGAATTGATTTTGGAAGTTGTTCTATTGTTGTATGGTGTAAATAGATATGTGATAATCTATCCATATTTCTTTGGATTCCTGGGAATTTTCTTAAGTTATTACAATGTCTGAGACTGAGAGTTTCAAGGGATTTCATCATGATATAAGAAGGGAAAGTGTGACATCCCCATTTTCACGGCCAGAAAAGCCCGATTTTTGTTTATGCTTTGTTTAAAAATCAGAGTAACATTTTAAAGAAAAGTGTTGCGGAATTTGTTCCCAAAATAAAATATGATAAAGATTTATCAAAGCATTTCCAAAGAAATGTATTTCATTAAAAACCTCGGGATGTCATGTTCGATACAGATCAAAAGCATAAACAGTACAATATAAGCCTTACAACATTTATTCATATCTACAGGCCTATAATCTGTAATCCCTCATCCAAAACATCACATATATGCTCGAGTGCCATTACCTGTAATACAAGAAACTGAGTGGGTCAGGCTTGGGAGCCTGGTGAGCACATAGGGTTTTCAACCCACAATAAATAAGTTTATTAACTTCATCAACCAACAATAACCCGATTACCCGTTCCCATTATCCTCACTTTATGTCCCTAAAACACCTATCATAAGGGACCTAGCCTAAGGATCATCATCGGGATGGACACTACTGCTAAGGGGATTCCTCAGCAATAAATGTCGTTAAGGCAACCATGAGGGGGATGGAGTACACCGGTGAACACATCATTCACAAACACCTACATGTTGCGAGCCTGATAGTGTTCCATTGGACTGTCTAGAAAAGTCTGTGGTCGTCATCTATACTCCGCTAGATGACTGGAAACATCGTCAACATCGAGGCCTCTCATCATTTTATTTCATCACACCCAACTATTATATCTACCCACGTTTTACCCAACACATTTTGTAGATATAAAATACATATACAATTTAAATCATTTAAAACATGTATAAAATCTTTCATCCAGCATAGACAACAAGTATTCAGACAATATGCACACATAGCACGTAATTTATATAAAATACTTCATATCTGTGTGTAAGATGAAAGTAACTATGCACTCACTTGTTAAGGTGGTGATTCCAAACTCAGACAGCGCTTCACTTCTATTAATTTATTTTTTTTCGAAGAAACCTAGTATCATTATCACTAGATTTTAGTGTAATATTCATTGCGACTAATTATTAGTCTAGATTCATCATTAACTCAAAGTCTACTTTCATGATCTATCAAGTAAGGAACAACCAGGTAGGATCATATCGGAGGTAGGGTCTGTTTGGTATACGAAGTATACTGTTTGGAAATCCCACTTTAAAAGCCTCACTAAATCACAACCTAGACACCATTCTCGTAAGTAGATCAATCAGTATAACGACTCTGAATCACTGATAAATCTTATTTATAGGTTCATAATAACGATATTATATTTATATATAAGCTATATTTAAAGTATGGTAGGCGTATCTCACTTACAGCGGGTTTTTATTAAAAATCGGGCTTCACTGGAGCAGCGTTTCTGAGCCGAAAATCTCTTCCTCTCGGAGCCGTCGAGCGCTCCGGGGCTTTCTTCTAGCGCTAGGGGAGTTCCCTAGGGCTTAGGGGGGGGTTTTGGGAGGTTTAGAGAGAGAGAGAGAGAGAGAGAGAGAGAGAGTAGAGAGAAGAAAGAATGGCAAAGGTGTGAAGAAATGAGGGTGGAAAGGGTTGTATTTATAGGGTGAAATATAGATCATCTTGGTGCCACATGTCACCATCTGGTGGCAAGCCTTGCGAAGAAAGCAATGGCCAGGATTGTGCCATGTCACCCATTTTCGCACAGCACACTTCTGACTTCTAAAATCCGTAACTTTCGCATACGAGCTCCGTTTTTTACATTCTTTATATCCACGTGTAGGTAAAAACAAGATCTACAACTTTTCTTTTGACTCCATCGGCTAATTCTCGACCGATTTTAATTTAACAGTATGAGAAGATTATATTGTTAAATGACTGCGTAAAATTCATAACTTCTACATACGGACTCCGTTTTCGTCTGTCTTTTTGTCGTTGAGTTCCTATTAATGAGATCTTCAAGTCTCATTTAGGTTACGTTGACCAAAAACCGCTCGATCTAATATTCGAATTCCGGGTTGTGCACTGCTATGCCAAATCTTAGAAAAATCATAACTTCCTCATACGAAGTCAGATTTGGGCGTTCTTTTTATGCACAATCTCGGTTTAACGTATACTACGAATTTTTTTTAGATTACTAAGGCTAAAAATTTCTCTATCATAAATTCACTATTTACGTCACACAACATTGTGCCGGTTTTGTCGTGAAACTTCGACAGGTCATAACTTCTTCGTTATAACTCGGATTTCGGCATTCTTTATATGTCCGGAATCTTTGTCACGACCACTACAACTTTCTTCATCGATATTGGGTTTATATAACACTTTATTTTTTAAGCTTATTTTTATCTTTTATTTGTTATATCATTATAAACAAGTAATAAGCACATAAATTCACATAATTCACGTATTACTCAAATAATTCATCTTTATTACTTCAAAATAGGTTACAATGGTTGACCTGACTATTACATCACTATACTAATGCTTAGCCCGGAAACACGGGCGTTACAGACAGATTTAAGTTCATAGCAATTGCTAAGATCCAGACTTTTTAGCTTTTCTAGTCACCCGATTGACTCATGAACCTTTACCAAACTGCTACAACTTGAAAGCTCCAATATTTCAAGATTT